ATAGTCCCGTATGACATTTTCATTACCAAACTTGGCTAGTTTTTCACATACAACTGGTACTAACATAATTTAACTTAATATTAGAGTTATGCTTGTCCTTTAGCAACTGGTGTTCAACAAAAATAGGTGGAGACAAAGTAAACCTCAAAATTAAGGACAAGATGAAGATTTTAAGGGGGTTGGTAAAATTCAAGAAAGATTTTTGACTATTCCCTAGATAATGGGTAACATAATTGAAAGGGTTAATACATATTTTGACTAGTAAAAAACAAGTCTTCATTCATTCAAATCCTAGCTATTGACCTCATTAACTGAATCTCATTATTGGAAAAACTTCCTCAATTGAATGTGCAAGGAATGATGCAGCTAAAAATTAGAATTATATATGTGCTCTCACACATGCACTTCCATTGGTCAATGCCAATCATAAGTGTATCAAGTTTAATTTACAAAAAATAAATTCTTTTGCCATTTTTTCCTCCTTTAATTTTATTGTGTCTTTTGACCATGGCTTCTATAATTAGAACATGGCAAATGATTTAGATACCAACTTGTGTTTGTTAAATGCTCAAATCACATGCATTTAGTATATAAGAAAGTATTTACCTTATTAATATGCTAACTCTAACTTACTTTGCACTTTTCAACGAATTAATTAATATATTCGGTAGGTCTTCTACACCGTGGAAAAAAAGGAAATCATTATTGGTATTTCTCCATAAATAAATTGCCTAGAAAATTGGTAGAGAATCTGATGCATGTTCAAGGACTATACTGAGCATGTAAACAATTAACGACTTAAAAGTTTAATTATTAAATTAAAACGTATTATTGGATTTTGTTTTCACTTCAAAGTGTTTATCAATTGTTAAAATAAAGATAAAACATGTCATAGTTAGATCTTTAAGCATTTGAAGAACGTTCAATTGAACAAAATTCAAGTATCTCGACCGTAATCATTTGAACTGGATTTAAAACACCAGATTTTATTTAGACATATCTTAATTTTGTTTGCATTACACAATAGTTACGTGCCAATAGCTAAAAAGGTGCCAAACAAAACTAATCAGAAATGGCATTTGCTCAAAGCAAACATACTTCTCAATCGTAACGCATTCAAGATTCTTTTTAAGGAACTTATTTTTTTAGGTTTAGGATTATATTCAGAGAATTTGAATCATAAGAGTCGAGAAGTAACTGAACTCATTGACCATTTGATTAGTTACAAGGTTCGAAATTCAATATAATTTATAGATTAAGTAGATTTTTTAAGGTCTGACTAAAACAATATCTGAATCCATAGCTTATTGTTATCCCTCAATTCTCTAACTTAATAAATGATTTAATAATGGATTGCATATGCAATCGCGAAATAGTCTACCATGATTATCTAGTCTCGTTGACTAGATTATATGCCGTTTTGTGGCGGGGTCCTTCTAGCTCAAAGAAGAGATTCTAAAAACTTGCTAATAGAAAAATAATTATCACATAATTAGTTCTAAGAGTATTAACATAAACGGTGCAGTGATCTTCTCGAAAGGCCGGTTTTTGCATATTTTATGGACTACTTCACATGTGAAATATCTTTGCAATTGGAGAACACTACTAGAGAAAAGACCTTTTGTGAGTCGCCACACAAAGTGAAAAAGTGATCACAAATTTGTTTCGTCGTGACATGAGAGTCCATGAGAGAATAGTCAAGTGTAACGTCCTTAGTTGTTAACTAAGTACATGTGTGGCACTTGACAACTCGCTCACGATCTTGCACAACGTGCCCACCTTCTTGCTATGCCAAGTCAGCCTTACTACACTCAAGATCGCTAAGAGAATGGTAGAAAGAACACAAGAGAATTGTTAAAGGAAGCTTTGTATTAGAGAGAACTTGAATTGTTTGCTTGGTGAATTACAAATGAATAGCCCTCTTTATATACTATTCTCCTAGGGGCTAGTGTGCAAATAATAATTATTACACAATCTTAATATTTACAAGATAAGGGCTTTCTCAAGAATTCTCTACAAGCCTAGAAGATTCCAAGTACGGATCTAGGTTCTTCCTATGAAAATGTCCATACTTCTCTAGAATCTTCTCACAAATGCTAGCCTTCTTATTATGTAAGCTTCCACGTGGCATTAATATATGCCAAATGGCGCCTATGTGGCATGATGACATGGCGGGTCATCACACAAGTCCCTAAAAAAATTGACTCCAAAATTCGCCAAAAAATAACTTTTCGTCGCCACACAAAGTCCATTTCATGTGGGGAATTAAATTGCGCAACGATCTTAGCCCGAACATACTTAAACAACCTAAAGGTTTGGCCAGATCTGAAAGTGGACCGGTAGAAAAGCGGATAGGAAAAGTAGCTTATATACTCACCTAAATAGAAAGATCCTATGAAGCTCCATTGTTCCCTAGGATTGGCTTTGGGCCTTTACTGTGTAGCTTAGGTTACAGGCGAAGAAGGCCTCCTTCTGGGCCGGGGGGAGGGAGGCTCGTGGCATCACTAAGATACTGTTATGGAAGGGCTAGAATTCTAACCTTGTGCCAGGACTTGGGGGTCAAGGGACAGTGATCTCATGTAGACAGTTTCTACGGAGCGTAAGTAACGGAGGCGTGCAAAGGTTTCCTCGGGCCAGACGTACAGAGATATGCCCTGGAGTGTGAAAGCGGGCGGGAGCTTGAATGCAAGACCTACCTGTCGAATAGGGGAAAGTCGGCCTTAGTGATCCTAAAGTGCCGAGTGGAAGGATGGAATAAATAGAGATATATGGTAGAATTGTAACCATAAAATACAACCCTAATCGAAATGCATATCTTTTTTTTTTTTTGGTTAAACTGTAAAACTTTTATTTAACCAAGTGAAAATATTTACATCCACCCGCTCTTTGGACTCCAGAGTCGGGTCTTACAAAAATAGCCTATTTTTCCTCCTTAGTTCCACAACTGGAACTTAACATTTACTAACATGGATATCTATCTATCCTATCTAATACATCTCTCCATTTACATTTGCTAACACCTCTAATATGCAATTGTAATACAATTTCTCTAACTCTTTCCTTACTTTCTCTTCTAGTTTGTTGAAACCTTCGTATGTTCCTTTCTATCCATGTGTGGTATACTGTTGCAGCAAAGGCATTTCCTAGTATCTGCCACTTTGTACTCCTGCTTCTTGTTTTTGTTGTCATCCAGTTGACCTATTCCTGCCATCTTCCTATCTGTCTATCAACTTCAAATAGGTTTAAAATCTATTTCCATATGAACTTTGAGTATGAACAATCAAAGAATAGGTGATCATGAGTTTCTTCTTCATTTGTCATGCACAAAGCACATTCTGCAGGTACTTGGATTCCCCATCTGATTAATCTGTCTGCAGTTGTTAATCTCTGATGTATTGCCATCCACAATATGAACTGATGCCTAGGAAGCATACCTTGTGCCATGTATAATGTCTTCCAATTAACCTTTGGGTATTGTGGCATGAATGATGGTAAGCATTTCTGATGGTATATTTCCCGTGTACAGTGTACTGTTTTAGTTCTTGAACTCCAGTGGCTAGCCATTCTCTGGCTTCAAATATTTTCCTTACCACCCAGCTAGCTTGCTTGGGGGTTTCCATATTGTCAATCTCCTTCTTCTTTATATAGTGGATATGTATCCACTTAACCCATAATTTGTCCTTCTTCTGTGTAATTGCCCATATCAATTTTCCTAGTGCTGCTCTATTCCACATATAGAAGTTTACAATGTTCAATCCTCCTGCTGTTCTTGGTCTGCAGATTATGTCCCATGCTATAGGTGCTTTTCTTCCTTCATTGCTTCCATGCCATAGGAAATTCCTGCATAGCCCTGTTACCAGATCATGAACTTTTTCTGGAATCAAGAAGACTTGTGCCCAGTATGTTTGTATTTCGAATAGCACACTTTTGATTAGTTGGACCCTCCCTGCATAAGATATAAACCTTGCTGTCCAGCATCTGACCCTTGCTGCAATCCTATCCACCAAAGGCATGCATTGACTAATGTTGAGTTTCTTTGAGGATAATGGAACTCCTAGGTACTTGAATGGTATTTCACCACTTGTGAACTGCAGTTTCTCTAGTATCTCTTGCTTGTGCTGATTAGACATTCCTGCCACATAAAAAGAACTCTTCTCCATATTTACCTGTAATCCTGAAGCTGTGGAGAACTTTTCAGATTGCTTCATCATAAGTTCAATAGACACCTTGTCAGCTCTACAGCACATTAACAGGTCATCTTCAAAACAGATGTGGACTATTCCCAATCTTGCACATTTGGGGTGGTAATTAAAATTAGGATTTGTTTTCAGTTGCTTCAAAGCTCTATTCAGGTACTCCATCACCAAGACAAAGAGATAGGGTGACATTGGATCACCTTGTCTTAATCCTTTTTTTGCTTGAAATCTTGATGTTAATCCTCCATTGATTAATAAGGAGTATGAGACTGTACTAACACACTCCATGATAAGCTTTACCATTTTCCCAGGTATCCCAAGTTCCAGCATAAGAGCCCTTAGGAAATTCCAGTCCACTGAGTCATCTGCCTTTCTAATATCTACCTTGACTGTGCATCTTGGTGACACTGTTTTCCGATTGTACCCCTTGATTATTTCATGAGCTAGAATTACATTATCTAAGATGTTTCTTCCCTCTATGAATGCTGATTGTGAAGGGCCCACCAGATAGTCTACTACCAGCTTCAGTCTATTTGTAAGCAGCTTTGCTATAATTTTGTACATTGTAGAACAACAAGCAATATGTTTGAATTCTTTTACATAGTTAGGATTTGTCACCTTAGGTATGAGTGTGAGTGTGGTGCAATTGATCTCTTTAAGCATCTTCCCTGTTTCAAAGAATTGCATTACTGCTTGTATCACATCATCACCCATTATCTTCCAGTTTTCTTTGAAAAATTCTGCTGGATATCCATCAATTCCTGGTGCTTTATCATTTGGTAGTTCTTGTACCACCCTTGTGATTTACTCCTCTGTTACTGGCCTTATCATTTGCTGTTGCTGTGCCATTGATAGGCAGGGGCCATCTCTGATTATGTTAACATCAATTCCAGGCATCACTGGTGTTGACTCTCCTAGTAGCTTCTTGAAGAACTGAATAAACTCTTGTTGGATCTGTAGAGGTTCAGTCAACCTTTCATTTCTCTCTGTACAAATAGATGTGACTCTATTTCTTGCCTGTCTAGCCTTTAATTGAGCATGGAAATATTTGATATTAGAATCCCCATGATTGATCCATATAGCCCTTGACTTCTGTCTTAATACCTTCTCATGTACTGCATCCCATTTTTCCATTTGCCTCAATATTTCTTTTTCTTGCTCTATTAGTTGTGGATTCAATAGGTTTTCATTGAGTTTCTGTTGTATTCTTTTCAGCTCCTCCTTCATCTGTTTGAGTTTTTCCTCCACTGATGAATATCGTCTTTGTATTCCTCTTGTTTGTTGCTCCAGTAGTTTAAGCTTCCTGCAAATGGCATACATTGTGCATCCTTGTATATTTTGTCTCCATATATTCTTCACTGCTGTCTTATACTCTTCCTGTTGTAACATTACATTCAGTAATCTATATGGTTTCCTCATCTTCATTCTTTGAACTTCTGTATTCAGGATGATTGGTGTGTGGTCAGAACATCCAGGTACCAAATAGACTGCTTCAATACCTGCATATACCCCAAACCAATCTGCATTACCAAATGCCCAATCTATATGACTATAGATCCTTTCTTCAGCCCCTCTCTTATTACTCCATGAAAATTGCATCCTTTTTTTGTTTATCAGACCTACTCCAATATCTGAGAGACATTGTTTGAAATTCACCACCTCATTCTGATGAACAGGAGCCCAATTAATTCTATCTTCCACTGATAGGACACTATTGAAGTCCCCTATAATCAACCAAGGGTCGTTGGTTCTTGCACTGATATCCCTTAATTGGTTCCATAGATCTCTTCTATCTGCTATAGTATGAAGACCATACACAATTGTTACATCACTCTGAAATTCAGAGTTTTTGTCTTTTAAATGGCAATGGATCATTTGTGATGTTATCTGCTTTACATCTACATTAACAGTTGATCCTTTCCAACACAGCCAAATTCTACCATTAGGAGCATCATTATAGTTATCTATTACTTTCCAATCTCTACCAAATTTCTTCTGTATATCCTTTGCTCTCCTTTGTTTTACTCTAGTCTCCAAACATCCTATTAAATCAACTTTATTCTCTAGAAGGAAGTCTTTAAACTCCCTCCGTTTAAAGGACTTGTTTAGTCCTCTAATATTCCATGTACTAAATATCATATTGGAGGGCGGGATCTGGAGTAGGCCCTTTGGTAATCCCCTGTATAGCACTACCTCCTTGCTGATCAGGTGGTTCATTTTCCTGGATCCTCAATGTTGCATATTTATTCCTTCTTGTCAGCTCTTCATAATCAATGGTTGGTTGGTTCTTTGTATTTGATTTACCATGGTAAATCATAGCTTGTTTGCCTCTATTTCCAATCTGGATTTGAACCTCCTGATTTTCCTGTTGTGTATTCACTTCTGTTTGTGTTCCTTTCTCAGCAACATTTGTTTCATTCTCCTCACCCATTTCTGCTGTATCTGTCTTACTTTTCCTCACCCAACTCTACTTTTTATCCTTCTTCACTTGCACTGGTCTTGCTGTCTGTTTTTCTAGCTTACATTCCCATTTAGATGACCAAATTGGTTGCACTCCTGGCAAAATTTTGGTTTCCATTCATACTCCACTGTTTGCACCCTCACTTTCTCATTAGACAGCTCTAAGTGCAGATCATCTGGAAATGGATGTGTTATATCCATTTCTATCAGCACACGAGCATATGATACTCTCTCACAATGTGTTGTGCGTTTGTCAGTGCATATTGGTTTGCCTAAACAACTTGCAATTCTCCCCAAATTTTCCTCTGCTCTGCATTGGATAGGTAGTCCTGGTAGTGTGACCATATTTGCATCACTCGCATAGGCTCCTTGTCCATATCAAATTCAGGTTCCCAATTCTTTAGGACCATTGGTCTATTGTTGAAGGTATATGGTCCCCTTTCCATAATCTGCATCTTGTCCTCAATCGATTCAAATCTAAAGATGAAGTAGCCATCATCATGCAGTATTACCGTTGGAGTAGTAACTGAATTCCACACCCCATAAGCAAATTTCAGCATCTCTTTGAAGGTAGGGTTTCCTCCCATAACATACCCTATGAGTGCTGTCTCCCATTTTTTACATTGCTGCTCCATTTCGTGTTGATTCAGCTTCACAATTTTAATTCCATCTCTTACCTCAGGTGGATAGAATTTGAGTTGCATCCCTTGTTGTACTGTTCTATTGCCTTTGACCACATCCGCCATAGTTCTCTTCTCTTCTCCAGATCCAGTAGAATAGGTCAATTTCCTTGCTGCTGTGTTCAAATTGTTCTCCGTCACTTTTGTATTTTCAATTTCCTTCGGCGGCGGTGCTTGCATGATTGTCGGCGCACTACCCATACCTGGCATCCAGTGTACCAATTGAACCGGAGCTAAATGTTGTATCACTCCAGATTCAGGCGTAACCATGCGATTCGAATTATCCTCAGTACTTTCCTTCGTCAGTGTTGTTTGTGAATTAGGTTTCCGATTCGTTTTCCGGCGAGCCATCGTCTTCAGCGCACATTAGCTATCCTTGCTAAAAATGCACCGAGAGAAAATAACCGCCCGACCTCCTTTATGTGACTCTTTTACTATTTTAAAAATTATTATTCATGTTCTTAAGCCAATTAATTTTAAAATGTTCGTTTTAAAAATTATTATTCATGAGATTAAGCCAATTGTTAAGATACTACAAAGCCACTTGATAAATTTTACAATTATTCATGAAAAAATTTAAAACACCAAAAAAAAAAAGATACAATTATAAAGTCAGTAAATAATATATAGAAGCATATTTATAAATCTGTCTATCTATATATAAAAGAGAGGCAAAGACACCATAGTAAGCCAAGTGGCAACATAATAAAAAGTCACTTGACAATTTTAGGACAAAATTAGTTAAGTTAGGTAACAATTAGTTTTTTTGAATCTCAATTTTAAAAATAAATAACTTATGCACTATGTGGTTAATAATTAGTTACTATTTTGAATTTGAATTTAAACATAGAAGCAAAGTCTAATTTAAATTTGAAACAATTACAATCAACTTAGTAAAAAATATAAAAATCAAAATTTTATATCGAAAATAAAATAAAATAAAATAAAAGGCTAATTGCCTATTCTATATAATGCAGAAATTCTTTTAAATATTGATACATTTTATACAAATAATAAAAGAACATATATTTTGGACGAAGTAAAAAAATATAAAAATCAAATATTCATATTGAAAATAAAATAGGAAAAAGATATAATTGCTTATTATATAATATAGAAAAATCCATGTCTTAAAAGAAATCAAAAAAAAGCTACTGCCCTTAACTCCATCACCAGCATGGCAGCATAAGGGTGAGCATCGGTCGGTTCGGTTCGGTTATGAATATTATCGGTTTAGCATATCGGTTATCGGTTTACAAATTTGATAAACCGATAACCGAACCGATAAGATATCGGTTATCGGGTATCGGTTAATCGGTTATCGATCATTATCGGTTCGGTTATCCGTTTATCCGATAAGATAACTCAATCTAGAGTTAAGCAAAAAAGAGAAGACAATTCACTTGAGTTAAGCAAAAAAGAGAAGAATTCACATATAGTATACTAAAGATTTACGCTAGGAGTAACTAGTAAGGTCTATGAAGAATGAAGATGAAGCAACTGAAGAGTGCGGTTGAGAAAGAATAGGAGAGAATGAACTGAAACCCTAACATTTGTACATACTTAAGGGTAAAGTCGTAATTTTATTAATTCTTATTGGGTTATCGGTTAACCCATTAACAAAATTGGCAAATCGAAGCCCGAACTGATAACCCAATAGTAAAAAAAATTCTAAACCGTTATCGAACCGTTAACCCAATAACCCGATACCGATAACCCAATAAACAATTAACGGTTCGGGTTATCGGTTTTACCCGATATATGCCCAGCCCTATGGCAACATCTTCTTAATTAAAAATTTATCCTCAAAATTTCTATTTTCTCCAATTATGCCAGCAGATTTAAGCATTCTCGCAAACGATGATGATTGTTACGAACAATATATAAATGAAATTGTGTACCATGGCAAGGTTTCTTGGTCGACCAAAATGTTCTCCAAAAGATATATATCTATCAAATCAGACAACTAATCAACCTATTAATTATATAATTACTCCTCTATTTTTATATTGTTGCACCAATATTTATTCGTTGACGGGTTTATATAATAATAATAATAATAATCATAATAATAATAATAATAATAATAATAATAATAATAATAATAATAATATCTACTATTTCATTAAGAAAATAAAAAGATGATAAATATTTTTAAATATTTTAAATACAAACTTTATCCTGAATTTTTTTTCAATTTCTTCAAGTACTTAAATAATAAAATTGTAATTCAAGAAAAATAATAGAATTTGAATAGATTCGGATGTATGAATATCCAATATATTTAAATGTCCATAAAATTTACATGCTTCTTTGCATCGTAGTTTTTAAGCAATATTTTTTTCATGAACAATTATAGTTAATATTCTCGGCGCAATGCGCGGATATGAATACTAGTATTGTATAATAGTTAAATCCATAATCATTTAAATGTCATGTATTAGTTGCAAAAATTGTTGGCATGTCACGGTGTCAAGCGAGAAACCTATACAATGGAAGTTTCCATTTCTCAGCCAAAACGAATCCTTTTTTAGGAGAATAAAATTCCTTTTTCATAGGAATTAAATAAATCAAAGCCAAAAAGCTGACACAGAAACTGAGAATTATTCCCATTCTCCCGGGTCTTTCTCTTACATATATATATTAATATATATATATATATATATATATATATATATATATATATATATATATATATATATATATATATATTCTGTTCTTACTTCAACTGCCTCAAAAGTTTTTGCAGTATTGCCCAAGCCAAGGTACTTCCTTTTCCCACGCAAAACTTTTCTTCTTCTCTATGCAGATATGTCCATATAATTTGCTTGTTTTTTAATTCTTTATGTCATATTCTTGTAGGCTTTTACACAAAGTTGTGAACTTTGACTTGATCATCATTTCAGGAAACCTAATTTAATGTTTGTAAAAGTGTAATTCTTATTTAATGGGATAGATAAAAGGGACGTGAATATTTTTTTATTGAATAGGCGAGATGAATTGTACTATTATGCTGTTTCGTAGTCTTAGATGAATCATTGAGGAATTGATATGAAGATGAATATTATTATCTAATGAAACTGCTGTCCTGCTTTTATGTTGGATTAGGATCAAGTTTTATAATTACAAAACTCCTTGCTTGAGATGAAAAATTGGTATGATCTGTATGATGTCCTTATCTAGTGGAATTGTTGGTCAATTTTAAAGTTTTCAGTTTGTTAAGCTTTACAAGCAGGTGGTTTCACTTTCGATATTGTAATATTTATTTAAATATAGTTTTTTGCATAAGGGAATTCAAGGGAATATTGATGGAAACAATGATTGTAACTGCTACATATTGCAGGATTATACACCAACTGAACATTTTCGCCGTTCGGGCAATCCAAGATGGAGTCACGCAAGGTGGGAGAATTTCTTTGTTGTTTTCCCAATATCATTGGCATACGTGATTTTGACTTAGTTATACTTATATTCATCTCAATTCTCGTGGTTGCAGTTATTCATCTCATCTTAATCTTACTTCTTATCTTTCTTCTTTGCCCTCAAGTAATTAGTTCATTTGCTTGTGAGGTTTGCTTTTTTCAGTGTGATCATGAACCATGCTCAACATATATATCATTGTAATTGGTTTGATATAACAGTAACTAACCAATTCTTGTTGGTTTTTTAATTAGAGATTGAAAGAAACTAATTAATAAATATGAGAAATGAATTGCAAAGTGAAATAATTACTCTTTATTTCAGTCAGGAACATTTGAAGCTTGTGACCAAGAACTCAATTATTCATTCAGTAGCTGTAATCTTAGAAACAAAACTTTTTCATATATTGAATGCATTTGAACGGGGGAAGCATAGTTTTGTGATCTCTCAGGAAATCCTATTTTAGGGGTCTTCATTTGTAGATTTTTAAGTGATAATGCTTTGCATTGTCATACTCACTGATGACTGCACATGAACTCTTCATGGTGAGGCATGGCCTGGTTGTATATTCAACATGAGCGTTTCCAGTTCAGAAAATTTCCAGTCTGTTTAGTAATAGCCCTGGTTTTGTATGTCTAGTTATGTATGTTAGCTTTACAATTAAATTCTCTTCATTCCATGTTCGCTTGAAGATTGGAGTTTTAAATTGCATCTATCACTGATGTGATAGTTATTTTCTGGTCTTTGCCAACCAAGCTAATACTGTCTCGTTCTGATAGTTTTCCTTCAAGTTTTTGAATTGAACCATTGATTTAGGTGGTATGATTCCATGTTTCAGGAAGAAACTGACTGAAGAAAGTGATCGCGACACTAGACCTACTACCTTATAATGTTGCAAAAATAATTTTGGTATATCTCGTTTTTGCAGGAAGGTTATAGAGGCTCAGGAAAGCAGAAGAAGGTCAAAATTGTTTTTGTTATAGGTTGGGACTTCCATAATTCCTTTAATTGCACTGCCTGTTGTAATCACATCTACTGCATTTTGTATTTCTTTTGATGACATTAAACCTGCATCTTGTATTTCTTTTGATGACATTACACCTGCATCTTGTATTCTTGTTCTATCATGGAAAGTGCATCTTTGCCAAGTTTACCTGGTGGAAGTTGGTAAAGATTGGAGGTGACATACTTTCTTCGTGGCTTCCACAAGCCCCAAATACCCGAGCATCTGCCCAAAAGGAAGAAAAAGGACAAAGTTTAGCAGTGAAAAAAAAAACTTAAGTCACGAAATGCCTCCCAGAAAAGTGAGATTGACTTATTTAATGCCTTTATAATCTATAGAGAACTTACCTGAAGTTAAGGAAAATGTTGAACTGTATATTTCTCCCTTCATAGTTGCTTATGTAACAGTTTTAAGGTTGAACCCATCAAGTCTAAATCCTGGATCCGTCTCTTGATTAAGGTTTATTCAAGTGCTTGGCCAGCAGCAGGAGATGTCAATGGCAAGCAGTGGCCGATTAAGACAAATCAATGGCAAGCAGTGGCTGATTAAGACAATGGATTTTAGTGGTGTTGGTTGAAGGAATAGATATTGGCAACAGACCTGAAACCAAGTTCTTGAAGAATTCTTTTAATAGATTTAAGTCTCTAGTTCTGAACCTTTTATTGAACGTGCTTGGACGTGCTTATATCTTTCCAGGATCAATCTTGTCCATCGTAAATACCATGCTAGCTAATACGTCCCTGAGCACAAGGAATACTTATGATATATGCTAGTGTTTGAGAATGTGATATTGATATTTGCTAGCTTTAGAGAATGTGATTCTCTTTATTTCTCTTTTTAAACTTTTAACTTCCTCGTTTCCTTACTTGATATTTCCACATCGTGATTATTCATTTTACAGGTGGTCCAGGGTGTGGTAAAGGCACGCAATGCAAAAGAATAGCACAACTGTTTGGCTACACTCATCTTAGTGTTGGTGAGCTTCTACGTCAAGAAATCAATTCTGGTTCTGAAACTGGGTATGTTATTCAACAACCATTTCAAATTCTAGAGAAATCGGTCGTTCTTACCCTTTCATCTGAGTGGTGCTCTGTGATATTACATGAAAATGAAACTCGCCAAAATATTGTAGTGTGCACTCTGTAGGCTTACAATCCTGTTAAGAATTTAAATGTCACAACACTGGCTTTATTCGTTCGTTCTATTTATTGCAGCTCTATGATTCAGAAAATTATGAAGGAGGGGAAGCTTGTTCCTTCAGATGTAACAGTGAGGCTTCTTCAGCAAGCCATGCAGGGAATGGACAGCGACAAATTCCTTATTGACGGTTTCCCCCGGAATGAAGAGAATGTTAAAACATTTGAGAATCTTGTAAGATTTATATTTAATTGGTCTTAATGGAAGTCAGAAGCACTCCAAAATGCTTATATACTTTAAATAACTGTCATTTGCGATTTCTTTTGTAGACAAAAATGGAGCCTGAGTTTGTCCTTTATCTAGATTGTCCACAAGATGAAATGGAGGGGCGCTTGCTCTCAAGAAACGAGGTTTATTTAGGCGCATCATTCTAATCTGATTGTCTATAGTATGAAAGATTTTCCTACTTGATTCGGAGTAACTATGCAGGGAAGGGAGGATGATAACATCGAGACAATAAGGAAGCGATTTAAAGTGTTTCTGGAGTCAACTCTCCCTGCAGTCGAATATTATGAATCAAAGGGGAAAGTTAAGAAGGTACATTCAAAATCTTCTTCTATTGTTTGGTAGGGTGCTGGGAGTGGAGAATGGGTAGAATTGACTCCGACTAAGATGGAATGATTTCAGTAATAACTGCTAACCTATGTCTGAAAAAGGCAGGTTGATGCTGGAAAATCTGTTGATGAGGTTTTCGAGTCGATCAAATCCATTTTCTCTCAAGGAAAAGAGGATAAGGTGCCATCAAGCAGACACAACCACAAATGCCTGATACTCTGAACGGATAAGCCTCAAAGCGTGAAAGTATACATAAATATTTTCACACTTATACATACACACTCTCAGTGTAGTGTACCTTGCCTTATTATTCAGGTACTATCCCCCACTTATTATGGCCATGGTCATCTTTGCTGACCTGATAGCGTAAACGTATATATTAGCAATTTGCTGTGTGATATATCTATGGTTTCTTGTTAATGTAAGTAAGAATCTTTTCTAATCAGCATGCTCGACTCCCCGAAATCTTTTCTAATCAGCATGCTCGACTCCCCAACCCACTTAATTCCACTATTAGCAATTTGCTCTACTGTTTGTCATGTTTTGCAGTGTCATTAGATCAGGCAAAACAAGCATATGCTTAGGAGTAAAACAAACGTTTCATACTATCTCATTGTACGAACTTATCGGAGTGATCTCTCTTAACTTCATCTCAGTGTTTCTCCATTTGGAATAGGGTGCCCAGTTTCCAGTTTTAGGGGTTAAAATAGAGTTATTCCATTGAAGTTCTAGTGCCCGTAGTGCGCTGTTTGACAGTCGATATGCAATATATATATAATCTATAATGTATAACAACTATAATTGACCAGTGATATAAACAACATGGCAACAAAACCACCATAAATATTGCTCAACAAATAATATTGCTCAACAAATAATGAATACAAGTACAATCATTTAATCAAGTCCTTCAAATATAAATCTTTCACCTATAAGTCTTTCAAACAATAATCTTTAGAATATAATCCTTTCCCATAAATATATTTCGAATATACTTACGTCAATAACCATCTTTCAAATATGATTCTTTCGAATAAATATCTTTCAAATACAATTCTGCAATAAATATCTTTCTAATATAATTCTTTCAAAAAAATGTCACCCTTTGACGCCTCATTTCATAATCATAAAATACGGGTCTCATCCTAATTTCATATTTCCACGGCACCTCGTGCCTATGATCATCATTTACTCACGGCACCTTGTGCCCACATTTCATATCACAACTGCACGAACATTCCACGTGCCAATATCATTTTCATTATATAACCGCGGCACCTCGTGCTCATATTTCATAATCCGCCCGGCAATATCCAGAGGCTCATAATTTCAACATATATATGACTATTATCAAATTTACTGAATTCATAAAATAAATTGCACAATAATATAAAAGAACTCACAAGGAAATCACAACGTCACATAAATATTACCAGCACAATATCCCCTCATCATCATATAATAATTACCAACACAATACCTCACATCATCACATATCACCCATGAGAATAGCCACCCTTGTATCTCTTATAGCCACCCTTATCGCTCCTATAATAGCCTCCTTTATCGCTCCGTATAATAGCCTCCCTTATCAGTACAATAGCCATCCTTATCGCTCCGTATAATAACCTCCCTTATCACTCCGCCCAAATAATAGCCCAACACACATAGCCATAGTGAAATTCCACCCTTATACCCACATAATATCAACAGTGGAATGCCACCCTTATACGCCGCATAACAGTAACCCAAATCACACAACAATTTATACAGAAAATTATCACAACAACACCACATATCACTTCATATCACAATTTGCCCATAGGCCATAACTAATTCCAAAGACACAACAAGATTAATTGATTTCATGAATTGCACCTCAAGTGCTCAAATATCACATCATTTCACAATTACACCTCAAGTGCTCCCAACATATCACAAATTGCACATCAAGTACTCAAATATCACAACACATCACAAATTTCATATCATGTGCTCAAATGTCACAACATATAACAAATTACACATCAAGTGCTCAAATATCACAACATATCACAAAATCGACAATAATATTATTTTAATAAGGAGCCCACGACTCAATCATAATGTGCACAACATCTTAACAAAATGTTCGGGAGTGAACAACTCAACTGAATAATATTTCACAATTTAGCACTTTGCCCCAATATAATTCACGGCCTTTATAATTCAATACCCAATTTTCAACAACGTGAACTGAAAAATAATTCATCAAGGAACAACACCTATTTTAAATCACAACTTTAGGAAATATATAGATTTATGCCTCTTGATAACTTAAATTCCTTATTTTTCATGCCTTATTTCTTGTTCTGGTGCGCAGATTTGATCCCCATCTCGAGACTTCACGGTGAGCTGCCTTCTAAGCCGTTCTGGAGCAGCTGGAGTCTCTCTTATGCTTTATTTTTCCCTGTCTATTTCCTTTCAGACAGTAGGCTAGCATCCTTTTGTATATTCTACTAGATTGCCCACATACTTGTGTCACCAGTCTTGGCACACACACTAGTAGACTTATGATTTTGGATCTGTTTACATGATTACGATTTGTACTCATTTTCTCCTGTTAAATTGTGTTTCATTTGCAAATTTCTAAATCTTTTTTAATAATTGAGAAAGTAATATCCACTTAGTAATTTATTTAAACGAGAAACCACTAGCTTGATCAGTGTTGGCTTGCCTAACAACAGTGTTGGGCGCCATCACGGCCTGTGATCAGGCCAACTATGCTTTATAAAAAGGACTAAGCGGTCGCTGCAACTATAATCCAGTTTAAGAGTTCGGAGTCAAATCCCACAGAGAACTAAGGCTTAGCTACAATTGTTCAATGTCGTTAAGAATCGCTAGTCCAAACAATTTCTTAATTATAAAGATTATAATATTTAATTATATCTAATTAAATAACAAATCTAAAAAATAGTAAAACTATCAATTAACAAGGATAATGATTGGAGACAAGATTAAGGAGGTCTAAAGTTATGATTTTTCCAATTGTCGGAATCCTTCCCGCTGCATCTTATATAATTTCACCTAAGTATTCTCTACCGATCATGAGTACTTCGGGTGTCGTAATTCTCTTCCGAGCAACTACCACAATGTACTAGACATATTCTTTCGAACTACGCTAGCTGGCACTAGTGCACCGCTCACTAAGATCGCACCAAGGCTTCGTTATTCCTAATCCTTCCTTTAAACCCTCTGTATTGATCCCTAACATACGTTAGGAGTGACGTTGTTTAACAACTACCTAAATATGTACCCTTTTCCAAGCAATACACATTAAATAGGCACAGTCAATTGATGGCCATTCAACCAACAGCAACAAACATGTAGTTGAACAAGTAGATAAATCCAACGGCTCAATTATATAAAAACATAACAAGATCCTCTATAAGGTTCCATCAAAAGCCTAGATAACAAATTACCTATTCATAATAGTATGCGAAACTACAATACTAGAATTCATAACCAATAATGGAAATAGAGGAAGAAAGAGGGAAAAAACGTGGAGTTGAATCCTTTTCGTTGCTCCAAGTGTGTTTGATAGTAGGCTATATAGTTGATATTAACACCTTAATATGAACATGCTTTGTTGTTGCTTTATAGGTAAATTGCCAACAAAATTCTCTAAATAGTGTTCTTTTGTTTCGCAGGGAATATTATATGTGAGGAAGCAACACAGAGTGTTTTGGAGGCGATAATGTGAAGAAAACGCCCACTCGAGAAGTACCCGAGCACAAAGGAGCAGAAAATGGTCTGGGCAAGAATTCCACTGCGACCGCGGTGGACCGCGGCGGATTAAAATGTGAGGCAGAAAGGTCAGCTCTCACCGCGGTCGATCGCGGTCCACGCCACGACCGCGATGAACTGTTCACGCTGCTGGAAGTCTGGGACTAAAGTGTATTTTCGGGAAATTTTTTGTAAAACCCTTATAAGCTTTAGAACTTCGCCCAAGATGGGGTTAAGCTTGTTTTTAGACTACTTTTGGAAGAGGAACAAGTGTGAGGAGACAATCCAAACATTAGAGTTTTTCTATCTCCTTATTTCTTGCAATTTTACATTATGAACAATTTAGTAGTTTTCTCTTATTTTGTTATGAGTAGCTAAACAATTATCTAGGGTTGATGGAACTAATTGTTGGTTGAAGTTTTGACTCAACTTGTTATAATCGAGCCGGATTTATTGTATGATTGTTCAACTATGTTTTGTATGGTGATTAATTGAATGGTCCCTTGATTAATCGTGTCTAATTACCTCATATTGCTTGAGAAAGAATATTAGGTTAGAAAGCTGTTGAACAACACCACTTTTGGGTAATTCAAGAGATTCATTACTTGAACTTAAAAGTGGGTTTAGAGATAACGAAACTTTGGTGGGATAATTTAGAGCTGCACATATTGTCAGCTAGAGTAGTTCGAGAGAATGCTCTAGTAAATTATTGTAGTTGATCGAGAGATAATTACCATAACCCATAGCTCTTAATCCTCATAGGGTATTACGGCGAGATTATAGTGAAAGAGTCAAGACCTAAACTAGCGATTGGGGAAATCACTGCCCTAGACCTTTTTTTTCATTGAATTATCCTTGCTTTAGCTTATTGTTGTTTTTAATATTATTTGAAGTAGTTAAACAAAAAGAACCCAATCTTTATTGATCAAAATCTTGCATCTAGAAATTGGTTGAGTTGATAATAACATTGCCAGTGTTCTTGCCTCAAAAGATGTTGTGTAACCCTAAAGTAGTGTCTCCTCCTCTCAAATTTGTGTTTTAGGATGTATTTATATCACTTAGGATTGATGAGGGGCGGAATTTTTCAATCCAACTTCGGATGGGAGAAGCTGGAATCCGTGTCTGAAATTCTTCCATTTCGCGAAGCGATCTATGCCTTTGCTTCGCTTCGCTATTTTGTACCTTCATGAAAAGAAACAAAATTTATTCCGATTCCACTGAATTCATGTGTTTCTTTAAGGAACTTAATCTCCTCCTAGTACCCAAGGTTGTGGATTATTTCCTCCCAGGATAGAACGAATTACACACTGGTGTAGCGGTACTTCAAACCCCAGTGTTTCAGCGAACACAAAGATCGGTAGCAAATCACACTTACTGCTGCTTTCTTTGTAGTTAAAACAATGCAGAAGAAAGGAGGACAATTCAGAAATTCGTATGGAAAATCTGAGAGAATGGATTACTTATTTATAGCCCCAACCTGTTGAGTTCAAACGAAGAGAGGTCAGTTACGTAAAACGGCCATAACGTAAATGGCCATTTACGCAAATTAAAACGGGTAGAGGAAACGTTTTCCGTTAAAAAAAACGGACAGGAAGAGGCAATAAAACGGATAATTTAGATTTAATATTAATTTTCCGTTACAAACACCGGATATTTAATAATATTACGTTAATATTTACTATTAACAAATAAATTTGGTCCAAAAAAGTAATCAATCAATTGACTCCGAAGCCGAAGCCGAGCGACAACGACGGCGTGAGGCTTGCCTTCTTCTTAACTCTTTAAGAGCTAAAAGAAGAGCAATTGTATTTATACCCATCAATAACCTTTTCCTCTTTCATTATGGGACAATGTCCCTTTGTCAAGAAAAGAAACTTAAAAATTTCATTTTCCGTCGATTTAACATTCACCCTCTTTTAAGCTTATTTTAGCTGAAAAAACTCAACACTGACATCATTGAAATTGGAAGTGGACATATGTCAGTCGTCCAAGTAAGAAACTGAGAAAACAGAGAGAACGGGAAATGTGTCACTGTCCATTGCAATAGCAAATTAATTAACTATCTCATCATTCACACTAAAATTAGCACAATGGAGTAATAATTAATATAGTAAGTGATTTAACATTGAACACCACATTTCGTGAAGCAAGATCCGCTAAGTGCGGATTTCTTCGCATGGAGTTGCAATATAGTAAATGATTCTGATATTTATCAATGAAACTTCACAGTCTTCACTCCATCACTTTATAAGTATAATCGTAGGCGGGGGCAGAAGTAGTCTTTTGGCTATGAATTCATTTGAACTCAATAAATTTCGACATAGACAGAGACGGGTCCAAGATTTTTAGAACATGGGTGTACCATCAAAGAAAGGAGAAAAAAAAAATCAAGTGATAATTGATCCCTGTTTCTTTGAGTAAATAATTAATTAAGTATTGAATCAAGTGCACCATTCAACCTTCATGTAGCATGCCAATACATCATATTAGAGAAATTCTAGGGAACATAAAATACTTAGTTTGGCTAAATGAACACACCATGTTAAGAGTATCTTTAGACCATGAATTCACTTGCCCCATAATTTTGGCTATAGACCCGCCCCTGAGTATATATATAAAAAAGTTTCAATAAATAGTATACTTGATCCCATAATTTTTAACAGTACAAATAATGAAGCACAAAGTTAAACCTATTAAATTGCTGGAAAAGTTGCTATCCTTTTCACCACTCTCCTTGTGCTAATTGCTGGTAACTTATTTTAACACGTATGATTTTTCTTTTTGTTTGTCTTTGTATTACATTATTTTTACTAAATTCTATTTTGGATTTATTAATTATGATTTGCAGCTAATTCATTTTGCTTCACGAAAATTCATGTGATGGCCCTACGAGATCTACCTAAGGATGTACTACCATTTGCAGTCAAACTATCTCAAGGTGGAAACTGTGGGGATCGTTGTCAGCGAAACGAAGATTGCTATATTAATACGAGTTGTAACCTATGTCGTTACCATGATACATATGGGAGGATCTGTAATCGAAGGCCTAATCTGCAAGCTGAGGAATCAAATCTTCCATTGTTGATCTGATAGGAGATACATCAGTTGTGTGTAATGTGTTCTTCAATTAAATAAAAGAATATCGCGTAATATATGTACGTGCGCGGTATATGTCACGTTTCTTTTGCTTTTAATTTATTTCCCTTCATTTTACATGACATCTCCAAATCGTTAGTTTCTCTGCATGCATTTTCTCTATGATAAGTGTTGAGTCTGTGAACAAAGTCCCACATTGCACTACTAGAAAATAGGCCTACTGCAACCCAACGAGTTCCGTTGCCATAGGAAGGAAAACCGATGCAATAGATCTAATGCTACGGTTTAGGCTCCGTTGCTGGATCAAGCGTCGCTATAGGTCTATTGCAACGGTTTATAGCAACGGTTTCTAAACCGTTCCCACAGGCACATCTACCGCGACGGTTTTGCTATGGTCAACTACAACGTTTAGTAGCGACTTATGGCAACGGTCTGGAACCGCCGCTATATGTATTTTGCGACGGTTGAGAACCGTTGCTATAGTCATTATAACATTTTTGGAATGGTTTGTTTTATCTATTGAAACGGTTATTAAAAGCAGATGCAACGAGTTATAATGAGCTACTGCAACGGTTATAAGGAGCTACTGCAACAGTTATAAGGATCTACTGCAACGGTTATAAGGATCTACTGCAACAATTATTTGGACCTATTAACAGTACGATTGTTATTAGCTATCGCAATAGGATAATATAATACACTAAAATTAATATATAAATGATGAAATGAAAATATATTCATCAACAAAATCATATTTCAAAATACACAACCATGATAAGAGCAAAATATACAATAACAGTGTTTAATAATCTAAAAGTTGGCATATATAAGTTTGCAAAATAGTTCAAAAACAAAAATATTCTTAGATTGTCTGAAGATTCTACAACCAATATTTTTAGGTAAGGTCTTCACTGCTTTCATCTCCCCCTTGATCATTTGGTTCACCTATAAATTCAACAAGAACAACAATAATCAGAGGATAGGAAAAAGAAAAATATTTTCTTCTCAATATCATTATTATTGTACTATATATTAAGACCAATAAAATAATATAAGTACTTAAAAGACTGAACAAAAGATGAAACTGGTTAGATCAAACTCTAACTCAATGGTGAGATCACAATGCAACTTTTACAAGTGAAGGTCACTCAAATCTTGGCTGCACTAATAGTAAGTCAAAATCTTGGGGCCTTTTTTCCTTCTATAGGAGAAAATTAGGCCGTCAACTTGATATGTGATTTTCAATGAAAATAGGCTAACAACTACTAAGCTTAGTTCATGAGAACATTGCAGCTGTTAATGCAGGGAGGAGAATACATAAGAGAATTAACAGTTACCGGCTTTACTATTAGAGCATCCAAGTATGTGATCTATTGGTCAATGAAGTAGGTGCAAACCATGAAGATCATAGTAGAAACCCCAATAAATAGTAAGACTATGCAAGGGCCACATATAGGAAATATGATAAACTTTTAATTACTTTCTTATGAGGTATAATCTAGTTGGGGCAAACTGCCAGACTAACAACAGCAATGAAATGCCTCACTATATGTAACTGCTCTACCTTCATAGTGCAATCTCCACTGCATTAACAAATCAGTGTATATGATCAACCATAGAAACTCACAAGATTAGCACTCTTATTCCAAGGACAATTTTCTGTCATAAGCAAGTTTTCACATGAGTGCATCACCAAATTTGCAGTACAAAATTTTAGATAAGATGTTTGTATGTTTTAAGCAAAGCACATGATATCATCAATGAAAAAGAAGTGTGATATAGAAAATGCCAACTCTGTTTCCCAGGAACATCACCACGATGTACTCCCTCTGAATATCATGTATACAATGTCTATCCAACAGTTATGCACTATCAAGTTCCTCAAAATTTCTCCGCAGTTAAAGCTATCAGAATACATAAACCGAGTTTGTCAAAACAACTGTACAACATCCAGAAGCTAGTCCCAAAAGGATGATACTCATGTAATAAAAAAAAAAGCAATCAAGGAAGCAATGACCAATAACGTTTCTTGTAGAAATAGCTCACAAGCTGCAGGACTTAAGCAGCTAATGCCAACAAAATGGTAAATGCAGAATAACCAATGCACAATTGAACAGGCTAGAATTGGATCTGCTTGTCTCGCTAGATCAGTGTTTTGTAAAACAGTAAACAAAGAAAAAATAACAGAAATTTAGAAAAAACA